GCAACTCTAATGGAGAGGAAATCTTTTCCTCACATGGAGCAAGAATCTCCCTCTGCAACTTCAGATCAATGCTCTGGGAACTATGCAAAACAAATCTAATAATTGTGTTCCCTGTGATAGCCTTCCAAATCCTCGAAGATAGCAAAATCGTGTTCCTTTCAGGCTAAGTATCTCCTGTTCCTTCAAAGAATGTTCACATAATTGTTTCCAGACTCCTTTTCATCCCAGTCACACCTTCCTTTAGAGAAAGGCACAGTTTGTTAATATCAGTCCTGAATGTGGTATCCAGAACTGCATATACTATTCCAGATGTGCTCTGAATAGGACAGAGGATAATGGGACTCCCTCATTATGGACACTATGCATCTGTATGTGTAGCCTAATTATTTCATTAGTTTTAAACTGCCATGTCATATTGTTCACTTGCATAGTGCTTGAAGCCTACTGAACTTCCAGCTCTTTTTATGTGAACAGTTTTCTCACTCTATCTTTCCTAGTCTATGTTTATAGGGTATTTTTTTAAACACAGTGTAGGACTTGATGATAATTCCTATTCAACTTCACCATATCAGATATGGCTCCTCATTCTAGAGACTGAGACTTTTTTGCATCCTGATTGTATAATCCAACATATTAGTTATCCTTCCTAGTTCTGTTCTAGTTCATCCCTAGATTTAATAAACACATCCATCTATGCCTTCCTTGGAGTCATCGATGAACAATATTGAACAGCACAGAGCCAAATCCCACTGATTTAGAAACCAAGTTCTCTTTCTAGTTCTTGATTGACATAAATACCTCTCTGGCCAAGTCACTGTCCTACTGTGTAAATACTAGTCCTGCTCTGTCAAGAGGCTGTAGGGTTTCTGTCTTGTTACAAATGTTAAGTAAAGGTCAAACATCCCCTTACAGAAAGCTTCAAGGGCACATCAAAATTTCTTTGCTAATACTAGAGTTCTCTTGTAGAGATCGCTATTCAAAGCCAATAGGCCATCTGCTGGAACTTGGAAATCTCTTCATTAAGCTGATATTTTATGGCAGTGGGATATGACAAAATGGGATATAACCAGTAAGAGGATTTGACCTACACTAATAAAACAAAGTTGTGTCTTCCAGCTTCATCCAAAATGCCTCTTCACTTAGTGCCAGACCCTTCAAAGGCATGTCACATCTGTCAGGCTAACCTGACATTGCAGTTTCTTGGGTGGCAAGATAATATATTTGGAAATTCATATCCTAGTTCTTTGAAATTGAAGTTTGTGTATTACAAGTAACCCAGGGCTCAAGCCTGGGTTATATAAGTACCATTAAAAAAAAAATCTGCGCTCTTCCCTAATGTAATGAAAATGTCAAATTTGTTTCTCTCTTGTTTGTTCTTCCTTCATTTTTTTTTTCTTTTAAGAAATTTATTGATTTGCTTTGGACCTCTGAGTTAATCAATGTAGGGAGCTCCTTCCATGACAAAGATCAGCAATTTGTCTATAATTTATAGTCTTGGAGAGTTGAATGGGACATCAGAAGAGTAAATGACTTGTCCTTAGTCACACAGGTGGTATGTATCAGTGGCAGTCTTTCTGACTCCAAGATCAGCCCTTTATTCATTTATACTGTGTTGCCACCCCCTTCCTCCTAGTGCAATAATTGAGGGAGGGAGGAGAAGATAGGCTATTCTGTAATTCAGGTATATAAGTTAGCATTGCCTCCCAGTTCAATATTTGAAAGATATTAGGTAATGTTCAAATAAAGTTAGACATGAAGTACTAGTGAATGGGCCTCAGAACAGAAATTCATGTCCCACCTTTTCATATGCCAATTGAGTGATCCCAGGTAAGTCTCTTAACTCCTTAGTGCCCCCAGGTAATTCTCTAAGACTAAATCACAGAGTAGCTGCTGTTCTGTTTGAGGGAGTTAATGCCTATATCAATGAAAACATAGATCTAGTAAAAAGAAAAAAAGACTTCGGGCATGAGAAAGAAATTCACCTTAAAATGTAAAATTTAACCTGAAACATGGGTACTATTTAACAGATTACAGGTTCTCAAGATAACATGAAGCTCTGTTCACTGGCAAATGTGAGATGGTCTGATGAACTTTTTTGGTGAGCTTACTAGAATGTGCTCTTATCCACCAGGTGAGTTATGCAGGCACTTCTACCATATGCTTCTATGAGACAGAAAATGGAAGTTCTATTTAGGAAAAAAAACCCCATAACAACAGCTAACCTCACTCCTACAAACATGGTTCCACATGTGCAATCTGATGGGAGGATTTTAGGGCCTGAATGCTGTCTTTTTCTGTCTTTCTTTTCTCTGAATTTCGGCTTTCACTTGAATGATTTCAATCATAGCTTCAATTCCCCATTCCAATTTGAGTGCAATAGACACCATTTTAGACTTTGAACTGTGATTTAAAAGAAGTTGAATTTAGACAGACCTAAGTTGGCAATGAGTATCTAGCTAGGGTCAAGAGAGAGAGGTAGAGGGAAATGATCACCCAAGGACATTTAATTATAGTGTTAATGTTAATTACATTTAGAATGTTGAGGGACGGTGTATGCATGTGTTTTGGCTTCTTGAAACTATCAGATGCGTTCTGTGCAAAGTCGGGTCAGAAAAGCAAACTAGAGAGTTTGAGTAAATAGGCTGCTGGGTTGTTTTTGTTGTGGTTTTGGGTTTTGTATGTTTGTTTTGGTTTTGTTATGTTTTTACCTCTTCCTCCCAAGTACTCATTGATGTCCTGTACTTACAACTTGTTAATGAACAGGGATGGAGACAATTTCATTTTTTCCCTATGGACTTCTGTAAAACAGAGTCTGAAGGACCAATAAGGGAATAACAGTGTAAGGAGAGGAAAACAAGCTAATGGGGAAGGAAGTCTCCAGGCTAGATATCCCATCCAGTAGAGATAGAGAGAAATTATTTTGAGGTGAACTCTGAACATGGGCAGGAGAAGATGGACATGGTACCCATAATCAGGGGAAAATGGAATCAGAATGAGGTATTCCCATAAAGTTTACAAGTTTAGCATCATCAATCTCTTCTTGGCGGAGAGGGGTAGGCACGCATCATGGCTGCTGTACCACAATGGCTGAGGGCTTGATTAAGAACTGTTTTTGTACATACCAATGGAAATGTCAGCTGGGAGTCGTGAGCTGCTATTTTGGGAGGGGAGCGGGGAGGACTCGCATTGCAGCTTCGGTAGAAATAGCTTACAAAATGGAACAGACTCTCTAATGTTGTTGAGCTGTGCTCCCCAGCCCCCCATGCCTCCAGTTAAATAGGATACCATTGGGCAGGCTTCATCAAAGGCAGGCAGTCTTCCTGCTGCATTGATAGGAAGATGGAAAAATTAATAGGGGTAATATGAGCTCATTTCAATAATAATGAGCTTACTAACATGCCAGTTTTTGATCTTTTCTGATGCATGGATTCCTGGCAGTAACTATGGTCCTATGTAGGTAGTTAAAAGAACTGAAAATAGACTTAAAAAAAAAAGCCCCAATCCCAAACTTAAAAAAAAAAATAGAACACTTAAAAGTCAGTCCAATTTTTCCTTTTCTTCTTGAGAAGCGCCATTTAACTCCTTTCCTCCCCACCCTTAACTTTTTTTTAACAACTTCAAAAGTAATGAATTGTATTTGGCTAAAAATAGATCAGGGGGGTATGGCTAATGGGGCTTTGCGAATCATGTGGCATAAGGAACTGTCAATATTTTTTTGAGCTGTCAGAAATCCATTTAGTGATTTTTGACAATTCAAAAAAAATATTTCGGACTACCCGATTCTGTTCTCAGTGAATTAGGGAAGGGGAGGGAAAGGAGAGATACATCAACTCAATTTATGCAGCCAGACTATAGCTTCCTGTAGCTTGTTACCGAATGATAGGAAGCAGCCTCCTGTGGCCAGCAGTTCTCTCTGATGGAGAGATTCTCTTTCAATTTTTTTTTTAAATCAGGAAAAAAAGCAGTTAAAATCCATTTCTAGATTATAGACACCACAATGCTTGCCATCCTCTCTTTTTCCTCTATTAGTTTACTTTCTTAGAGTGGATAAGTAGTTGAAAAGGGACTAAATAGGGTCTGAAAAGTGTTTTTCACAGAACTACTCAAAGTTGAGGATACCTGTGCTTGCAGGATAGCCTGTTTCTCCCACCCTGGTTTTTTTTTTTCCTCCCAATTTTATATCCATCCAGATGGCTCCAACTTTGTTTAAAAACAAAACAAAGGAGAAAAAACCCACCATGGGGCAACTATGCTTTATGAGGAAGTGTAAGTGTAATGTGCAATGCCAGTTTAAAGGGTAGATTATGTAGGAATAATCAGGGATAAATAGGATCACAGCCTTTAAGTTACCTGTAGGAACACTCCTAATCAGGCAATTCACTGCCATATAGCCCCTGTTAGAACTGCCAACAGACAATAATCTAAGCCCTGGATAATTAAAGACCACTGCCTTCTGCTTTCCTCAAACTGAATCACAAAAGCCTTAAATCCTAACTCCCTAATTAGAGAGAGGCCCAGGCAGTCACTTGGTCTGGATTTTGATTAGTGTTAGGTGATTTGAGTATCTTCTAAGTCAACATGAAGAAAAGTTTAAGAAAGCAAGGTTGGCTTAGCAAAGCATTGAGGATTTCTCTTAGGAGTCTGACAGAGAAGTTGAAAATACTGAAAAGTTTTCAAGTTACCATGTCTTTTTTTTTTATTATATAAACTGTTTTCCCCTCCAAAATATGGATTAAAAACATGTGCAGTCAATACTGTGGATCCCCTCTTCATGTCCCTCACACAGGTTCTTTAGACTTGGATGACACAAATAATATGATTTCAAAAATGTCTTTTTTAAAATGGATTCATTGTATGATTGTCTAAATTGCACATACAGCGTTACCTATGTTTAATTCCAAATTTTCTAACGGACATTTTGCCCTATGTATTTTTTTAATGCACCATTTGGCACTAATCTTTTGAGAAAGGAACTCAAGAAAGAGGATTCTAAAACTTACCACACAAGTCTGGTCTCTTGACACATCCACTACTTGCTGTGCTACTCGAAAGTCCATTAAAGGCTGCTAAGCCTTCAGAGCTATAGGCTCTTAGGACTGACAACATGTTCATCTGCTTCTCCAGGACCTGGGGCCCTGGGATCTGTTCTGCTTTCATCACCCCTGTGGAGGTGTCATGGGATGGAAGAAGATTTGGGCCGTGCCACTGCTTCTCGGACGTTTGGGGCAAAGGTGAGACAAGTCCTTGGGCCGGCTGGGAGGCAACGGCGTTGGGGAGGCTGTCTCCACCATCGGTGCTGCTATCCTTGTTAAGGACAGACAATTGTTTGCTCATTATTTCAGGTTCTGTCTCAATATCCTCCTCTTCATTGTTTTCCTCCTTGGAAGATTCCATGTCTTCAGACGAGGCAATGTCAGACAGGTCATCAGTAGCGTTTTTGTTCACAGACTCAGGGAGCAGGATCGTTGGGTCATCTTCAGGCTGCAGTTTGCCTTCAGGCTCATTGTTAGCACAAGAGGATCCTGAGCCCATGACTCCTGGGTAAACCCCAAATTGTTTGTAGAAGTCTGAAGTAAAGTTGCAAAATGGCGGATCCATATGACCAGACCAGGCAGAGTTCTTTTGTTCTCCCAGAGTCTCCTTGCCATGACCTTGGGCCATCTTCTCAGAAGTAGAGTCAAGGTGGGTAATCACATTGGAGATTCCTACCTCTTTGCTAGATTGTACGGTAGAAGGGAGCAAGCCAGTTTTGCTCACTTCCCTGGCTTGGTCCTTGCCATTTCCTGTAGCTACCAAACCACTGTCTTTACGTCTAGTTTTGCCCAAGTGATTGGCCTGGAGGTGAAGGGCCATCAATTCCATTGATGAAGTCGTAAAAGAACAGAACAAGCAGCCATGCCATGCAATGTTATCTTGAACAGTCACCGAAGAGCCTGGGAGAGAAGCTGCATCTGGCCTTACGGACAAATCCAGCGGTTCATACTGAGATTTCTCTGATTTCCTCTGGGAGGATTTTCCACTATTTTTTTCCTCACCACCATCTGGTCCATGGACTTTCATGGAAAGTGGATCTGATAGGGCTTTCTCCTTTACTTCCTTCTCTTTCTTCAAAGAGCTCAGGACAAAGCTATCCATGAAGGCTTGCAAAGAGCCTTGGAAGTTGACCCCATTGCCTACGATGCTCTGATAGGCTCGTCCAATTTCAGAAAAGTGTGTACCTTTGGAAGGGAGGTCAGAGCCCTTCAGAGTCTCTGAAGAAGTCTCAGAAGTCATGCCTACAGCCTGCCCTGAATGGTCCCCAGATGAAAGCATTCCTGATGTCCATTGCTGCGAGACAGCGCCACCTCTGAAATCAATCCCTGGGAGACCCTTAAAGGCTCCCCTCAGAATGTCCGGCCTGATAAACAGAGATGCTTTGCTTGACGTCTCTTCCTTATGATCCTGGCTTGGAGGCTGTCCAGAGAGTGGCCCAGCACCATTTTGTCGTTCCCGATGGTGTCGTTCTAAATGGTACTTTAAGGATGCAGACTGAGTACCAGCATAATCACAATGGGGACATTTGTAGGGTTTCTCACCTGCAGATTGGAGTACAAGAGATAAAAGAAAGAACATACATGTTTAATGCATTTTGGTGTGTGGAGTAGGAATGGAAGGATCAACATTTGTTCTTTGAAACAAAGCAGCTCAAAGTAATAATTAGTTATAGAACAACTGTTTTTTAATAGAAGAATAATTCATAGTCTTAAGCTTTTTTAATGATTTTGTACCAGTTGGGACTATTCAGGAATGACATACTATCTACACACAATTAGCTATCTTTTTCTTTATCTAACATGTGAAAACTGCTGTAGATTTAAAAGCTATGATTATGAAAATTAAGCATAATAATTTCAACCACAGTGATCATTAAAAGTAGAAGTTTAAAAAGACAAAGTATGTAACAAATGGATGGTTGCAATATTTTGTGTATACAATAGCTCTGAAATTTGTTTAAATTATACACATGGAAACCATTTTTAAACCTAAAAATTTTATGGCACTGTTACGCAAGACTGAAATGAATGATTTAAGTCTTGCTCTGCAGTAAATCATGGATATAATTAGCAAATGGCATACTGCACAAGTAATTTATCATTATTTGGAGGGCACCATTCCAGAAGGATTCAAAGATCTGCAGACCGACTGCATTGTTTCTAAATAAAGAACTATAAATACAGATTCTATAAAATATTAATACCATTACAGTGCATTATGATTGCAGCATGTAAAGACATATAGTTAAGATAAAAAGTAGTCGATAAAATGTAAAAGAAAATGAGTAATAAAAAGGTGCAAAATATATTTAGTTTCTGTATTTGAAATTAACATTATCTACTGGCCTTTGCAGTGCCTTAAATTTGTACTAATGGCAAGCCTAACGCTCGGGTAGTAAAACGTGTAATTTACCTATAATAAGCGCTTTCTAGAGAATAAAAATAGCCTTAAATAGCATTTTAAAACATATAAGATAATTCTCATGAATTAAATATTTATTTAAATTCAGCATCTCCCCCCCCCGCCCTGACTTCTATTGTTCTTTCTCTATGGAAGATATATGTAAACTGATACCTGCCCGTGCAGTGTAACAAGAAAGGAGAGGTGCCTAAATACATGTGCATTTAAATATATGTAGAGAACTTGTTAGCAATCCAGGGCCTTTTCTAGGCTCCAGTGCTGAGATACTGCCAGAAAGAGATGGGGCTATGACAGTGCCTTGAGCTTATTTATAATGGTGCCCTGTCAATATTAGCAATTATTTCTGTGAGGAAGCTCAGTGTGGCAAGAGACTGTTTTCTTTCCTCTGTTCTTTTTCTCTGGCTGATCTAAAAGGTAACAGCAAATCATCTGTGAATGGTAGGTCCTGAAAACATTTATTTCTTCTAAGTCTCAGACAAATGGAAAGAAAATTGAACCAAGGACTTACAAACTTCACGAGGTACCCAGGTGTTAATTGGTAAGTCACTTGGAGAGACTCCAGGGCATTTAAAATGAGAAAGCCCAGGGTACCAGGTTCTTAGGAAAGGACTCCACCCCTTCCTTTGGACTGGAAGCTTTTACCTTAAGAAGCCTATTCACAGCTTCCATGAGCCTCTCTAAGATCTAGGTAATTGGTTACGTATTTCAGTCAAGTCTACAGGTAACTAAGGGTCTCAATGATGCCAACTCCTCTGATGCAGTACTTCCACTGGAGAAATGGGCTGCCAGGGTCATCTGTGGCCAATGACCAACTGTGTCTTTATTACTTTCAGGTGGAAGGCTAGTCTTCCCATAGCGAAAGCATGACAAAGAGCTTTGAGATTGTCTATTTTTTTAATGGTAAAACATTCTCTCTCCAATCTCCTAATAATTCCATGCCCAATCTCCCTCTTCTAGTGGATCGATCTCTGACCAGTCAGGGCCCTAGAACATTAGCAGCTCATGAGACAAGGTTGTGATGCCCACATTTGTACTATTGCATCAGACCTTGTATCATTTAGTCACTGCAGACTTTTATGGTCCAGGGTTGAACCCAGATACCTCAGAAACCAGAGGACATCACCAACACTGTCGTGGACATGTTAGGATAATTCATGTCCACTGAAACTCAAGTAAGTTGTCTGAGCTCAAAAAAAGCTCAGAGGAATGACTGACCTCTGGAGTGCCTGATGCCAGAACTGACTCAGTCGCCTCAGAAAAGACCCTGAAACCTACCTTGGTATATTTCTCAGCCAGAGGATCAACTTCTGTATAAGTAATCCCAGATAACTGTCCAAGTATGCTCAGATAACAACAACAAAACTCACTTTTATATAGGACTTGAAGGATTACAAAACACTTTTCTTATGATACCCTTTAGGGGTCAGAGAGAGGTACATTTTGCATAGCCAGAGAACATTTGCGAATATTGGGCTAGCAGGATATCCTTTGAAAATTATATTTGGGGCATCCGAAATTCAAACAACTCCTGATCTATAAATACAAATCAAATGATACATGAGACTCCAATTAATGACAGTGAATAAAGGTAGGGAGTATTGACCTAGAGGGGACTCTGCTGAATTTGAAAATCAATCAATTAGCAGGCATTTATTAAGCACCTACTATGTGTCAAGCATTTAGTTAGGCATTGGGGAAACAAAGGCAAAAAATGAAATTATTCCCACTTCTAAAGGGGTTTTATATTTTAATGGAGGATAGATTAGGAAGTGAATTAATAAATGCTTAACTGTATCTAGGAACGATTTTGGTAGTAAAAATTAAACTTTTTTTTTGTCTGGGCCTTTACCAGGGACAAGCATATATTTCTTCAGCTTGAGGTGCCATTCCACAAGGGAGACTGCAAGGAGAACAACAGTAGATATAATAATTAATAATAATACTATCATGGCATTTATATAGCACCTACTATGTGCCAGGCACTATGCTAAGTGCTTTACCAATGTCTCACTTGATCCTTATAATAACCCTGGGGGTGGGAGGGTGGGTTGTGCTATTAGTATATCCATTTTATAGCTGAGAAATCTGAGGCAAAGAGAAGTCAAGTGACTTACCCAGGGTCACACAGCTAGGTCTAGCACTTCTCTACCTAACTGCCTAGGTGTTTCAAAGATGCCTATATGAAGTTGTAGCTATCTAGGACACTAGCTGTCTAAGAATATATGGACAGGTACAAAGAAAGAGCTCAGGAGAAAAAGTTTCTTAGCATATATACTTGAGAGAATGCTTCATAGAAAGATCCTCTCACCATTCAATAAAATTTTAATGTTTGCTGTCTATGAATATTATCTCAGGGGTTCTTCTCCTGGCATCTGTGAACTTTTTTTAAAAAATATTTTGTTAACTATTTCAATATAATTGGTTTCCTTTTGTAATCCCATAAATTGCATTTTATGTATTTTAAAATATTATTCTGAGGAGGGATCCCTATGTTTCTCCAGACTTCAAAAGTAGCATTTGAGACAAATAGTTGGAAGTTCTTGACTTATCCAAAGAGCAGTGAGACCTAAAATATCCTTATAAATCTCACAGTCTAGTGGAAGAGATGAGATAAATGTACAAATAGCTTCAATTGAGGGTAGAGGGATCAGGAAGACTTCATGGAAGAAGTGATACTTGAACTGGGCTTTAAAGGTCAGGGATTCATAGTCTGTCAGAGCTAGAGGGGACCTAGACACTAGCCAGTCCAACTCATTTTCCAGGGGAAGAAACAGAGGTCCAAAGAGTTTAACCAACATGCTACGGTAGAAAGAGCTCCGATTCTGGAGTCAGAAAAGCTGGTTCAAATCCCCTCTTAGACACTTGCTACCTATGTTATTTTAAACAAGTCACAACCTCACTAATCCTCAGTTTCCTTGCAGAATATGAGGGAATTGGACAAAATGTTCTTTGAAGTCCTTTACAACTCTAGACCTATGATCTTATGAAACGTCCAAGGAGCCACAGTAAATTAATGGAAGAGCTGGGACTAGAACTCATGCATCTGATCCAAAGTCCTCCCTGCTCACCTTGTTGTTTCTGTTACAAAGGTCTTTGGGGGATTTCAATAACTAAACTTTCTTGGGCAGGGTTCTTATACCAAACAAAGAATTCTAGGGAGGGAACAATGTACATAGATCTATACAAACTCACATGAGATTATCTAAACTTGGGGTCTGTGAACTTGTTTTCAAACTTGCTGACTTTTCTTCTTCTTATAAAATATTTTTCAGATAGCCCAAACATATTTTGTCACATATTTTGCCTTCTTTAATTGGCCCACCCTGAAAATCCTTGTATTATAGGTATATACTAAGCCGTGGGCTCTTAATCTTTTTTTTGTTTTGTTTTGTTTAGTGGCACCCTTTGGCAATATGGCAGAACAGAATAATGTTTTTATATGCATAAAATAAAAATCACAGAATTACAAAGGAAACCAATTATATTGAAATAAGCATATTTTTCCCCTTCTAAATTCATGGGCCCAGGGAAAACTGTCCATGTGTCCACAAGAAGTCTACGGATCCCAGATCAAGAACTCCCCAAAGTGAATGAAATGTGTGTGCCATCCATAACAGTAGGTTACTTTTGGCCATCCAAGGGCTGTGAGAAAGCAAAGTTCAAATCCTAACATGCCCAAAGGGCTACTTTTCTACTAGCTACATCCCCAAATGAGTACATTTCTTCCCCAAATTCTCTTTCCAGTGAGCCTGTGAACAAGTTTTTAAAACATCGGTCTCCAGACACATTTTTCACAGCATTAGCCAAGTTGAGGTTGAAGTAGCAGCTGATAAGAAGGCCTCACCACCAAACTAGTAAGCCTTTGAAGTCTTGGTCAAAAAGCTTCCAATCTGCTCTTCCCCTAACCAGACATAAACAACTACAGAATCCACCTATAGCCAACAGATGTTTCATAATTTTAAAAGAAGTATATTAGCATCTGAGCATGCCATTTGGCGTAAGTACTCATGAAGACAGATTTATTAGGCCAGCCCAAGCAGGCCCTAAACTTCGGTGGCACCATCAGACTTCTTTGCCAAAGGAAAAGTAAGTGAAAATGACACACCCCCAATCCCAAGCA